ATGTATTTCTAATTGTTATTTACTATTAATATTTATTATTTATTTTTATTCTTAGATAAAATATGTAAAATTACACATAGCACTAAAATAACACACAATTGAATTAAAGACAGTATAAGACCACGGGGGTGGTCTTATAACAGTTTTCCTCCAATCATAAATCTTTTGTACCTGACGTCAGCTGTTGCTGGGGAGAGCGGATTACAGAGCCACTCTCCCCAGCAACGTCGGGTACAAAAGATTTATGATTGGAGGAAAACTTAACTTGTCTCTGCAATCCGAAGTTTCACTCGTGAGGCTAGTTTGCAGTGGTATCGGTACTTTCGCAACCGCGGTTCTCCTCTCGGTCCCCGTGTATAAGACGCCCCTCTATTTTTAGGTAAACATTTTAATGAAAAAGTAGCGTTTTATACACGGAAAAATACGGTACTCTAGTTCCTTGGTTCTCAACTAGTAGGCCGCGACCCCGTGTTCAGTGGGTCAACGTGTGCCTTCCACTTTTCTAGGGGAGAGGCTCCTCAGCCTCCCCCTATTGCAGCACTGCCAGTTCTCGTGCCATAGCAGTAATTCAAAATATGTTGCTCGGTACAGAGTGACAGCTTGAGGTGAGGTGGGCTAGGGGTGTGACCACGAGGGAGCTGCATCCATATGTGCATTGCTTACAGCTCCTTCACGTGTCCTGTAGAGGTGCCTGGACCGGAGTGATGTCATATTCTGGCCCCCGGCACCTCTACAGTGCACGCAAGGGAGTAGTACAAGCAATGCACGTATGGATGGAGCTCACTCACAGCACAGCAGCCCACACTGGACCCCAGGCTGCTGATCCCCTCCAGTTCTCATAAGGTAGGAAGACTGGGAGGATCTTAAAAATAAAAAAATGTTTGTTTTTTTGGAGTGTGTGTGTCTGTGAATGTGTCTGTCAGTGTTTTTGATGGCCTGTTCACACTAGTACAGTGCCGTACGATTAATGCACAGAACCATGCAATCGCACCTACCGCGCATTCTGGTATGGAAGGCGTGTTGTGTTGCCATTTATTTGAATGGCACCCCAAACCCACCTCCCACCCACAGTTCGATCGCCCGCACCGGAATGTGCAGTACTGCAATGCCATGCGTTCCATTGCAGTGCGTCTTGGGTGGCGACTTAATGACCCAGGACAAATGTGGGTCCTGAGGCTACACAGGTTGAGAAACACTGCTCTAGTTAAACGTAAAAATATGACTTTCATATAAATATACAGAGCATAACCTAGCTACCAAACTAAAAGTAAACAAGGCAGATAAAAAAATAATAATAATTTCACTGACAATGGTGCTTGCACAGGATGGCTCACCTTAGCTATAGGAATGTCATTACTACTGCTGCTTGTGCTTAGCTCTCCAGTGCTTGGGTTTACTGGTCTACTTGCAGAAGTGAGACGACCAGGACTAGAGGGACCAGTTGCCTGCACACTTTGAAGTCGGGTCTGGAGTTCTCTCACCTAAAATAAAAAATGGACTATTTACCAGATAAAATACACACACTTTAAAATCTATTTATTCAATATGACAAAAATGTGGACAGAGCAGCTCTACTCATTCACTGTGCCAATCATGTGGACAAAGAAGCCCTACTTCATAGCACATACATTTAGAAACACATCCTTACAGGATACGCAGATCAAGAGGGCTTAAATGTCCTGGTTTCTGACCATAAATGTTCAGATGCTTTCTTGAAGCTTTAAAAAATCCCGGTCCAGCACTTTTAGTACAGAGGAGGTGCCTGAACAACTGTGCAAGACTGAAGGTAAGGCTGGAGTTTTTCTTCAAGGTAACAAGTAAATTCCCCACGCTGCTGCTCTTTCATGACAACTTATATCCACAGCACTTGTCTCTAGCAATATACGGGACTGCTCCTCTGCTAACTGTCCTAGATTTAGGCACATTTTATGCGGCGATCAAAGACATTATTATTCCAGTTGACGCTGCCGGATGCCACAAGGCGAGGTCACTGGGGGGTGGGTTGCCCTACCCTGGCATGGCAGCTCCAACATTGTCTGCCTGTTCCCTACTCTGTACTGTAAATGTTCCTAAAAATCTTGTGCAGCTCCACAGACTACCACTGTAACAAATGGAGTTAATAGAACAAATATAATATTTATTTTATATAGGTGTTATGCATTTTGCCATTTACAGCCTCTATATTCTTTATTCCAGTCTTGTGACGTTCATGTGTTTTATTCCTCAGATCCCAATTAACCTTGTAAGGTTCTTACCGTGGTCTGCATTTACTGCTCGGAGTAATGAATAATTAAAAGCCAGAACATAATAGGAGAATATGATTACATTAGAAGACACGTGTTTGCTAAGGTCAGAAAAAAAACATATTCCACATTGAATGAGAGCGTTTCAGTCAACCACTGGCACAATACAGATAAGGAGATAGAGACAAAAGACAGAGGAAGCACCCTGAAGCAATTAGCTATCCTCTGCTTGATTAGAATTATAGCTCCTGACTTTGCACTTGTGTGTACCTTCACCTCTCATCAGTCATATGAGCTCCTGTGATAAGAGACTGGCAGGCAACCAGAAAATTCAGCCTGGAGGAACTGTGACTGATGACAAGCTGAATTGACTCTAATCATATAAGTAATGGATCGCAGCCAAGGAAAAGAGGGGGAAAAAAAAGAGAGTTGTAATGTGGGTGTTAATAGGTAGGTGTAATAAAGCAAGTAAATGCCATCTTTATGTGGCTGTCTGCCTATATAATACATAATGTAAATCATAATGTTAGACAAAAATCAGAAGGAATCGATGAGTGGATCAATCTGTTCATGTAACAAATATCTGTCTCCTTCGAATCTGGATCACCCTGAAGAGACTGCGTAGTAGAAGGGAGCTAGTTGACATTTTGGGCCAGACATGAGAGATAATGGGGGGGGGATTTATCAAAACTGGAGCAGAGGCAGAATCTGGAGCAGTTGCCCATGGCAACCAATCAGCATCTCTCTTCAGTTTGCTCAGGTAAGATTTGAAAATGAGAGAGAAGATGGTTGGCTGCAGTGCAAATCTGCTGCAGATTTTGCCTGCTCCAGTTTTGATAAAACTCCCCCCTCTTAGTTGTTAGCACTACAACCTTGAAGCACAGAGGCCAGGATACTATTTGCATGGAGTTTGCATGTGGATTTCTTCCAGGTACTCGTTTCCTCCCACACTTCAAAGACATGCTGGAAGGTTTATTGGTTCAAGTCAAAAATGGCTCTAGTATTTGTGCATATCCGACAGGGACCCAAGATTGTATGCTCCTTAAGAGCAGGGACTGATGTGAACACTATAAATTGCTGTGTAAATTGACAGCACTATACACCTATCTATAATAATAATATCACATTGGAGAAAAGCATATCTAATATGTATCTTATTAAGAAGTCAATGCGTGTTGCCATACTGCATCACTAAGATCCTGGGCAGAATTCGCAACAAAAGCATTGAATGTATGGAACGGATCTGTCAAAGGCCATAGTATTCTTGTTAAGGTCATGCAGACATACAATGGAGTGATGAGCAATGTTGTCGTGTGCATTGCAATAGTGAATAAGCCCAGAAACTGCAGGCTTTACAGTACAAAGACTGATGTAACTGTTTAATGTTGTCTATAAAGTGCTGCATATTCTGTCAGTACTATAAATATATGTCTACGCTTAGATTGTTCTACCGACATTATACACATCTTTGAAAATACATTTGTTGGGTTTATATTTCTTCAATTGCTTCCGGTATTCATGCAAAATCATTACACAGCACATTACAGAGGACTAAAATGTTCACATCAGCGCCTGCACCAGCTGAGCATACAATCGAAAGTCCCTACCACAGAGAAATCCAGAGTACCTGGGGAAAACCCAAACAAGGGACAATCGAGAGCAGAGAGTGTTCCTAGTGGGATTTGATATGTCCTCCCCTCCATCTGTCTGGCTGCCTTGTAATTCTTCTCACAGGCAGATTTGCTGCTTGCGAATTGGCTGAAGGATCACATTTCATTTAGCTGTGACCAAATGTTTCAGTCAGCTGTATTTCATTTGTCTGTTTGGTTCATTAAAGGAAAACCTTTCCTGAGAGGATAATGGTAACTGCCATTGCTGACTTCTTAATCTGTGAGTCAGAGAACCTCACATGACTTTCCTTATCCTCATATCTATTCTGGGTCAGTGTCTCTAAGTACTAAAAGCATGTACCAACAGGAGTACCAGAAAAATGGTAAACAATGTACATTGCTCTATATGTAAGTAATAAAGCGATTTGGACTCACCATTTAGTATAGTGTTCCTTGTTTCTGATGCTTTAAATGACATTCTGGGTACCCACTGGAGGGTAAGCAGGACTCGACCAAAACTTGAGAACTGTATGGCCAGCTTTTTTGTTCCAAAAGAAAAGTAAAAGCCATAACACTTTTTTTTTTTTTAAAGAATTCTATAACTGGGGTTTCAGTGCAGTGATAAGAATGTCCTTGTCTGCACTCTATGTAACATGCTCACATTGGCATATGCAGGAGTATAGGAGGGCACTGCAGAACTCAATTTACTACCAGCTGTAAGGTATGTCAACTGCTATCCGTTCAAACCTTGAGGGCCTGTTCACACCAGATGCAGTGCGTTCCGGCCCGATTCTAGCCAGAACGCACTGCCTCGCATTGCAGCCTGCTCACTTTTCTGAGGGGCAGGAGGGGGCGTGGTGAGCAAGTGAAATGAATGGGACCGTAGCCACGCCCTACGGCCACAACGTGATCGGCCGCACGGGATCGCAAGGCAAATTATGCCTGCGGTCCGGTGCGATCAAAATAGTGCTTTTCAAGTTGCGGAACGGGCCCTGAGAGAAATGTAATTGTGATTTTGGCACAAACTGCAAGCAATCATTTTGTATAAGCCCCTATTCACACCTGAACGCTTTGTTGCACATTTGATGAAGCACAGAAACACTCCACAAGAACCTCATTTTTTTCAATGATGCTCGTTGTTGTGTCGCCATTTTGCAGCCAACAACCATCTCCTCCTCCTAGTAACTGGCTTTCCATGAGCAAAAATGCTCAAGCCTGAAAAGGCCTGAGGAGAATGCAAAAAGAGTTTTAAAATTGCCTAAAAGGGCTTAGTAAAATGGGGTTTATAATTTTATTACAAAAATAATACATTACATATCTTTAAATAGCTCTGTAGGTTACAGTGCGGTGCACACATCTCTAACCACATCCAAAAGGTCTGTGCTTATTTCAAACTCACAGCACTGTTTGTAAAATCATGTCTTCTGTCATGATACATATAGATATATCTATATAGATATATATACGCATGCCGAAAGTGCCATTTTCTGGCTGAAATACCAATGAATCCCTGCATTCTCTCCTTCCCGCTGGGCGCTGCTCTGATTCCCAGCGGGGAAGAGAGAAACTGTCACAGAAGGCCGAGCAGTACAGGGGGGGAGGAGAGCACTGTGAGCAGCTGGCGTCTCTCCTCCCTGCACCGCTCAGCCTCCTGTGACAGATTGGGAAAGCGGCGGTGTGGGGGCAGAGACAGTTGTCACAGGAGGCCAGGCCGGCGGTGCAGGGAAGAGTCAGCTGTCAGAGGAGATCGAGCTCTCCTCCCCGCACTGCTCGCTCAGCCTCCTGTGGCAGCCAGTCCAGAATGGAGAGCGAGCACAAGCAGTCAGTGATCGCTGAGTGTTTGTAAATAATTTAGACCCCCCAATATTTCCCGGAAGCCCCCAACAATAAAGTAAAAAATAATAAAAATGAATAAAATAAAAAGTTTATAAAAAATAAAAATAAAATATTTTAAAAAGTTAGAAAAAAAAGAAACATTTTTGACATTGACATTTTTTTTTTTAAATGTTGTTTTGTTTCGGTTTTGAAACTTTCCTTTCGGTTCACCTCTAGTATAGATATATATTATGCCAATAGGATTTTTGCTGACGTTCTTGTAAAGCTCCCAAATGTATTCTCATTTGGTTATTATGAATCACAAGCCTATTCCCTCAATGTTTCAGAATTGTCTTCATTGGCCTTTTTGCATTGTGTTCAAACACAAAGAAGAATATTCCTGCCATGTTTATATTTTCATCTACACTGCCTTACAGTGAAATAGTTGAACATACAGCTCATCTATATCTCTTCTATATTACAAGGTTTCTCAGTGACTGACAGCACTGAAATCTGGTTAAAATTCACTGGAGCGTGGATTAAATCTAGTGTCATTAAATGACTGTTGGTGTCAGTCTCCACTCTTACAGACACTGCAGGCCGCTCCAAAGAATGGATAATTAGCAAAACTGCCAAGATTCCAGAATGTTCTTGTTTTGTGGATTTGAACATCAAAGAGAAAATCATCCACATGAGAAAATCACTTAATGAGAGTGGTTATATTCTCATTCATATCGAAGATGTTAATCATAATCTTTCAACAATTTTACCTTGTCTGTTCTTCCTCATACAGATGAGGAACCGTAACGAAGT